AAAAAGACTTTGAACAATAAATGATGTGAAATCTCCTGAAAGAGTGTGTGCCTTTTGACGTGCACTTGCAATTCGCGAAGGGCGCATTCACATTCGCATCCACATTCGCATTCACACTCGCAACCGTCTTGCCAGGCTTTTGATTTCTGTTGCCTGGCTCTCTTTTTGTTGAGAAAGCCGTAGCTGTTGTCGTTTCTTATGCATGGATGCCTGACTGTCTCACTGTCTGGGCCTGTTTGCCAGCAAGAACTTCCGTTTGTTTTTCGGCACCGGGAGCGAATTGGTAAGCCATGCTCCTCTTACATTTTTCCTGTTCGCTCGAAAACCAAAAAGCAAACATTTTTTCCTGAGCCACTCGACTTGTACAAAGTAAATCGGCTTTTCGATTGTCTTTCAAGTGGGAAGTACAGACAAAGTACAGAAATTATGCTCACATAAGTCCTGAACTTCTACATCGCTAATGTTCGCCTCCGCATTGCATAAGTCAGATACGACCCTGATGCCTGAAGTGGTCATAAAAGCAGTCAATTGGTACGCCTGATACTTTCCCTGAATATTATTGCTCCAAGTGTTACACTTTGTTCACAGTGAATGGTATTGATTTGATTTAATGAGCACCCTTCTATAGTTTGAATGAGTTCAATATATTAAATACGTATGTATTTTGGGGTGTCTACACAAATTTAACAAGTGAGATATTCATCAATTTCATTCTAAGAAAGCTCTAATCGACACTGCTCCATAACGAAATCCACTGAACTCTTTGGAACTAATATTTCAATAATTCTTCGCGTCACACATACAATCGCAAGCACGCATCTAGTGGATGGACTTTCTTCATGAAACACAAGACTCTAGTATTTTAAATACGCTCTATACAAATTTATTGGTGAGGGGGCGGATATAGGGGTGGGAGTGAATTATCCAGTGCTCTCATAATTTTTCGAGCAAATAGAGCCAGATTGGCAAAAAAAAAAGAAGCTAAATTAAAGAAAAAATAGGCCAAAATAAAAGCTGGGTTTAAAAAACACTATTTTCTTAATTAAATTCATTTATGATTATTCATTTGTTTTTAATTGTTTGAT